CAATTACAATTAGCCTCAAATTGATTTGAGAAATATAAAAGGAAAGGTTAACTTCCTGATTTTCTAAATATAACCGTTTGAGTGCAGTACAGTTTTCTTCCATCTGTGTAAAAAAAATGTAAAGTACATAATTTTGTATACATATATCCTTATTATAAGTAAATGTTATCTATAATATTGTAATATTATAAGTCTAAGCAACTTTTATTATTCAGTACAGGTGGAGTTTGCAAAAACTACAGTAGCATTGTTCATACAACACGAGATTACCTTCTTTCGCACTCAAATGCTTCAAAAGTCTTCAAAATTCATGTTAAACCTTTTAAGAGATACAACGAACAAAGTAACTCTTTATCTGGATTATAGGGAACAAAAACCAGTAGCTTAGCCAAGAGAAATCGCAAATGAGAGTGGACCGTATTAATTCACAAACTGCAGCACTTCTTCAATCCACGTACCTGTGTCCATAAACTTCTCCCGTCCTTTTCGAAGCCAAGGATGCAAAAGCGGATGTGCATGATAAAGCGTGTTCCGGAGAACAGGCGACGCGTTATCGCCGGCGCGGCAAACGGATCATCCGGGTAGACAAGATCGGGGATTACAGGTTCCTCCGCTCGGCACAACGGTCGCGGGACGTGTATCGTTGACGAGAAGCTCGGGATGCTTGGAAAGTACAATTGTGTTCGTTTGTTCTGTCTTGCTCGTATCTTTTCTCTTTTTTCATTTAATTTTCTTTCTTTTCCCACGCGACATATCGCTTGCTACCAGCGCGACGCGCTCGAAAAGCGACCAGATAAATCAGGACAACGCAGAATGGTGTATAGTGTTTATCCATCACCGTTTTGCAAAAGAGTGCCTATTGAAAATATATATAATTATAATATTATAAATAAGAATGTACAACTATAATAGTGCATAATTATAAGTTCTGCTTTTTTTAAATATTGATCGCAACTGTTCGATAACACATTTACAGCGTTCTGTTTAGTATCACATTGTTTAATAATTTGTGTTCAAATGAATGAAAGTATGTGTTTCGAAAATAAGTATTAAATTTTGTGTATTTCTAATGCACTCTTGTGATGACATGTAAGTACAACGTATTACCGGTCCGTGTAAAATTATGCTATCTTTCACTGATGGAAATAAGGTTGAAAACACTGTTCTAAATTGCATAACCAGAAGTGAAGAGTTCAAAACCGAATGTAAAAGAATATAATGCTCTCCGCAGACCGTCCATAAATTCATTTATGTAAAAAAAATAAGTTACTGCCACGATTCAATAATTTCCTGATTCCGTTGCTAACGAGGTGTCATAAAATTGTATTCCAATTCTACCTTCTGACGTCGCAGCACGAAAGAAACCGAAGATGGAGGACTTAATAGAAATTCAAAATTCTGCAAATTCAAATAAAGCAAGAGTCTGTAGAAAAAGAAAGAATCAAATACTGACGAAATAGATAGATCATTTGTGAAATACTTAAAAAGAAAAACATCCAATGAGAAAGATAGATTATAATAATATTATATATAATAATACATATTACATATAATATAATTATACATATTGTATAACAATACATGGAGATTACGTCCTCCTCGTCATTCCACATTCTTTAAATTAATAATATTTTCACAACTAATATGCTATTCAACATTACAACTGTACTGTAATTAATTAATACCGTACACAAAATACGCCAACATTTCGCCCAATCGTCGTACCTTTGGCACGCAAAGCGTACACACATCGTCGTCCCTTTGGTACGCAAAGCGTACGCATATCGTCGCTTTCGTACGCCATATGCAATACGCATATTCAATACGGTGTTGTCACTTCAATACGCTACGATAACGCAACGCGACGACCCATGTGGGTAGCACTTAAGTATCAGCCAACGCTTTGTGTAATACACGCTACTTAAACGCACAGCGACTAATGATATTAAATTCACCAACAATAAAGGAAGCTGTACTAAGTCACACATATTTATAAGTATATTAGTATATCTAATAACTCTTCTATGATGTTACTATAATCCTATCGACTTCAATTCTATCCAGAATGCAAATATACATAGAAAATAGTATTGCCATAAAAAATAATTTAACAATTTATTCCAGTTAATACGACAATCTAGACCACCAAATTTCTGGGAAGTGAAAATGATAAATAAGAGGAAATGTACAATGTCAATATATTCAACAAATTCCGTAATGTCCCTACGGTTTTTCTGCTGCACCATGCGTTCCTGCTCTTTCTTCGTTGGTTTCGTTATAGTTCTTCCCCCGCGAAACTAGAGAAACTCTCGTTAACGCGCGTCTCGTATGAAAATCTGATGATTATCTTACCCGGGACACGCGAACCGTGTTTCGGCAAGGGAACTGTCGGAAACGGTTCGTCGATCGCGCGAAGAATGCGCCCAGTTTTCGAACGACGAGGCGTGCTCGTGTGCACCGTGTCGTGCCGGTTTCGCTAATTGCGCCCTCCTCTTCATTAATTGATATCGTTCGTGACAAAAGCTCGTTCGCGAATTTCGCGTGGTTACATCGTGTCAAAACAATATTGCAAATTACAGCTTGAATTACGAATACGTTTCTCGGGTCGCGCACGGTGCGCGACAGGCTCCCGTGCAAATTTCGTCAACGCGTTCCATGGTGAAAGGTGAAACGACCGTGTTGCGCGAATGCGAGTCTAAATATGCTGCATGGGAAAGTTGCGACTGCTATGCGGATGTTTTTGCAAATTAAATTTCATTTCATTTATTTCATCTTTACGGGTGATGTTGGTTTACTATACTTATTGCTGAGCAGTTATTGTTAACAAAGCAAACACATCTCAGATTCACTTTATTACAAAATAGACTATTATTTTATGAGAAATTTCCACTATTCGATTGTTTATCTCAACCTGTTTTGCAAGAATAAAATAATGTAAAATTTGCATTGGTATAATTTTGTTAACATTATTATTTGTGTAATAACATTACATTAATGTTTTCGTTGAATTCATACATTTTTATCGGTTTTACAAAATATAGAGCTTTTCGTGTCTACCATAATTCTTCTCGAATATTACACTAAGTATATAAATGTTCAATCATAATATTGTTATTTTTAAAAAAAGACCTATGTCGACGAAAGACGCATGAAATAATTTCGAACGATAATCACAAATAAATACAAATTAGTTATTGTAATCTCATCGTTTATCTGCAATTGTATATATTATTTTGGTATGTATGAAAATTCGTTTTATATATTTTCCATTAAAATATTCAAGATTTCTTTTCACGAAATAAATGATCATAAACTTTTGATCTGCAGGATTATGCAATCTTTTCTTTGACTCGTGCATCTTTTGACTCTCACTCGCTTGCTACAGGGCTGTGGAATTTCAGATGCATGTAATTTTCCCTTTTTCTTATTTTAATGTAATGAGTATTTTAAACAAATTCCACAAAGTTGCTAGTTTCTTTGTGAACCGGTGAAATTTTATTATGATAAGGAAAATTGTTTACTTTTAGTTTCTTATAGTATCTATAATGTATGTATGTCATTAATATTATTTCTCGTTAACATGCAGCTGTACACGCATGTATAATCAAAGATTGTCAGTTTCTCGGTTCTACAATTGGACCAGATGTTTCCGAGAAGTTTTTAGACCTACATCAAGTAATTTTTGATGTTCCGCTCGTTCGGCATGTAAGCAAATTAAGGCAATTGCACAATTTTAGAAGATCGCAATTTACTCCGCACCGGCGGAAAGTTTTATTTGGTTTCCCTTTTCCTGAAAGTACTGCGTTGATCTCCAGAGAAGCGCACTCTCCTGTTTGCATGTCGACCACACGCAGTTACAGTCGCAAAGTTCTTTGCGCCTCAAAATTGCTCGGCGTAATAAAGTTTCTTAATTAAAATCCCAGTCCATAATAACTAAAGGTATTTTCTAGAAACAAATGCAAAATGCAGTAACGGTATTGCATAGTCAACATATCACGCCACTAACACACACATATGAATATAAAATCTTTAACCATTTTCATAACTCAAGAAATCATGAAAAATTTTGCAGCAACATTTTATTAATAACTCTTGACAGAAATTCTCGCGAAATAAACTTCCCAATTCTCAAGTTTTACGAGATAATTATAATAACGGTCATAAGGTCACACGTTGATTTGAACATTTATAATTACTTAATTAACCAATGAACTAAAACAATTATTTTCTTCTATTACAAGTTATATGAGGCTAAGCCTAATCATCATCTCATGCACTGCATCAAATTAATGTAACTATTAATTCTTACTGTCTGATCAGTTGCTTCAATAAAACTGAAAGTCATCGAATATTTTAATTATACGGTGTTTCATAAAAACACAGAACACTTCTGATACAGTACCCAACGTCTAACAATAACCATCGTTTCCTTCGAATAATACAGAAGAAGAATGTAAAGTCAAAGTACCCATTGACCACGTCCATCGCGCGAAGTGAAAAGCATGTGCATACGATACACTTGCGATTGGATCGATTCGCGAACACTCGTGTTCGAGGGTAAGCAGTCCTTGGGGGGCTCAGAAACATCAGGCTTTCTCTTATCCGGATCATAAATATTAGAGAAGCGGAATACAACAGCAAAGCTCTATTAAACATGAAACTCGCGAGCGTTCTTGAAACGATAATCTCGGTAGCTGTTATCTGTGGGCCGCGTTACGTAGCTTCCGCCGGCTGCAATGCCCTCCTTTCTCCCGTTTTTTCAGCCTCGTCCCCCTCGACGATCCCTTTCCATCCGTCTGGTCCCAACCTGTTCGCCGATGCAGTTGGACGGAAAGAGAGGAGCAAGAGCAAGCTCTCAGGGAACAACGATACGATACGCAGACAGAGTACTCGCATTATTTCCAGTATATATACACGCCCGCCCGTATTGAATACAAAGCCGGTCGGTAGGGCATCCGACTATAAAGATATTACTTCCGAGTGTCCCGTGTATTTTCCAGGATAGAATTTCAACAGGAGGCAAAAAGACTGGCACGGCTGGCCGATCGGAATGTCGCGCGGCTACTCGGCGCCAGCCTCGAAGACGACCCCATGTGCATCGTATCGGAAAACGGCGAGTACGGGGATTTGAATCAATATTTGCAGAGCCACATCGCTGAAACGTCGACCGTGCACACTGCTAAGACCCTCAGGTACGGCTAATTACAGCGTTTCAGTATCGAAACAATTTTATCGGTTGACGGACTGACAATCCGGGGGGAGGGGGATTAAATTGACCGGAAGGGATTGCGTTTTCAGACTGCCTGCACTGCCGGCGCGGCGGAGCCTTGATTATAGGAAATGATAAAGTTGACTGACGATCGGCTGATCGGACGACGGTGTCGCGATCGAAGATCAAGTGTTTCGGTTCTCCAGTGAATTGTGTCGGTAGTTTCTTGACTTGAGTGGAAATCGAATTGCTTTACATTGTTGTTTAATAGTAGAGTAATTATATTGGGTTGTAGAGATGCGATTAAGATAACGTCACTCCAGACACGTATGAAATTCTAACTGGAAATTATAATTTTTGTTTCAATTCTATAGACTGGCTGTTTCTTAATTTTCATGGAAATTGTAATTTTTCTAATCATTTCCATGAAGTAGAATGAAATGTATAATTTTTTGCGGTAGGATTAACACGTGTTGTGTTAGAAATTTTTAAGCTAGTTCTTGAAGATGACAAAGACCAATCGTAATTATTAATTATTCATTCATTTTCCTTCTCCGTTTGATCTTTACATATTCGAGACTGAACTTTCATATCAATTCTTTTCTATTGGCTGTTATATAATAAAAGATTAAATAATAAGGTAAAATTAACCGCAACACGATAATCCTGATTCTATCGAATCTTATTTAGTATATTAAAATGTTAACGTGATAAATATTCTTCACTTTTTAACATTACGCGCATCATTAACAAAAAATTCATACACCGTATACAAAATTAATTTTGTGTATTCAGTTTGTACAAATTAACAAAATTAATTGTTTTAAGAATATTATCATGATTAAACGTTTACAATACTGAATTATTTATTCGTATACGAGTCAAGGTCAATGAAATAAAATAAAATGAATTGCACGACATGCGCAAAGCAGCTTTAAAAATTTAACAACCAGGATAAAAATGGATGGGAAGAGGAAACGAAATGAAATTTTAATTAATAAATGTCGATTGCTTCTGATCGAATGACAAATTTCAAGCCTCAAATAAATAACCTTTTTATCGATAATCGTGGCAGGGCAATTTTCCATCGAAATATTTCGCGCGAATCGTAGGCGTGGTAAATTAGTTTCATATATTACAATGTGTCAGTTAACCGTACAGTCGGGTGATGCTTGACTTTTTTAATCACTCGGTAGAGCGGCGTCCCCGTTGTAACCTCCGTGTCCAATCGAAAATGAAACAACGGCGATTTTTCTTGTCGCTCCATCATGCGCGTGACGAATGATATTCCAGTTAACGATGGCTTCCGTCGGAGAACAATGAACCCAATTTTTCGATTTTATCGTTGTGAGGACGTCAGTTCCAATCACGTTCGAGGCGCGTGTGGAAATGCGGCGTGTCCGCGAATCAGTCGAAAGTGCTCGAAATACGAGAAATCGGCTGAAAATGAAAGGTGAACGACAGAGAAGATCATCGGTGCTCATGACAGCTGTCGGCGGAGCGTGTTTTTCCTATGAACTCATTTTTGCTGGTCCCTGCAAGAGAAACGATCTTACTGCATCGATGAAGCATTCGAATCTACTATTCGGAACCACTCGAAATTTATCTCTGAACGGAATTCAAGTAACTTGCACGAGACACATTTTTCATGTCACAGAGAACAATTATTTTTTCTCCTTTCTCCTTCCAATTTTTTTAACTTTCAACAACTGCACATGTAAATATTGTAACAAAATAACAATTACAACGACAAATACAAACAGATATTATTTATTTTCACATTTCGATTTGGAGTTATATAATTACATAAATATTGAAGTATTTCATCGATTCTGTACATAATACTGAATGTGTTTAATTTTTATGAAAAATTCTACAAATACTAAAGAAGTTTTTGAATGTCCCATGAATCCGTAATATGCATAGTCTTTGTTACCGTTGATACGTACTACTTTGTAGTAATTTTATTTTTGTGTTATTGTTCTTTAGTTGGACTTGATATCAATGTACAGTGGAAATACTATATGTAATATTTATTCAGATTATTTTCAATCATACTTTATAAGAACTGTAAGAAAGACGTAATATCCGAGTGCTCTACAAATGTAAAGTACCAGTTTGCGTTGTTTTATGGTGCAGCACGACCATAAAAAAAATTATATGACTACATATATAAATTTCGTATCGTCGAATGAACAATGCTATACAATAAAAAGGTGTAACACTCTCTTTGTACGGTAGTAAAATGTGTCGGAAGTAGTGCAACAAGTCTCGCGCGCTCCTATATCTCACATTGTCTCATTACAATAACTTATTCTTACGTTTTACGAGGTGCGATCAAAATGTTTGAATAATTTTAGTTTATCGAAAGAAGTACATCTTTATTGTTTCATATTTATGTGATCTCGTTCAATAATATGTTTGTGTAAACTCTTTTTCCAATCTTAAGAGTCTTTCTAGGCTGCGATTTCTGGTATAGCTTCCAGTTTGCTGGGGAATTTTTAATGTACGTTTTCAGCATTCACGAAACGTTGCTGTTGCACAATTAATTTTCTGTAAAGATAAATGGAATTACAGAATACATCTTCTTATAAATATTGTGAGAGTCCTTTTTTTAAGTTTCCGTACAATTTACACTGTATTACAGAAATTAAAATGTTCGTTTCAAAAGTAACATGACATATCAATAGCGCTATAACTCCAATACAAGCATAATAGGAAATCCAAAATTATTCATTTTTTCTGGTATGATAGTTCTAGTGTTAACTTTTACATTCAATATGTCTGTAAATGATAAAGATATCAAGTATAGATGTTTTACTAATGAGAAGCGAGGGTTCTTCAACTAGATATTTTTACCGCAAGAAATTTGAAAATTGCACAAACAGTTTAATCAAACCTCGAATAATCACGTTTAATCTCCTAACTGTGTACTTTTCAAACGTGAGCAATCGCGAAAGCAGAATTCGAGACGAATCAAATTAATATAGTAAACACTGTATAATGATATATTTCAATATTCCGTGGTTTGTACTAGTACGGACATACGATTCGATGAAACACGAATATAATTTATTAAATAAACGCGAAAATAAAGAAATATTGAAAAATGAAACTGAACTCGAATGACCAATCGACTTCGCATTCCCAGTTAACACTTTGTTAACCGGCAATTTTACGGAGAAGCAATTCCATGTCAACGGTTATTATTCCGTAATTAAATATGATAGTGAAACAGTCTAAATAAACTTCAATATACTTTATTTATACATAATGAATTGAAATGAAACTTTGGATATATCTTTTATATAACTTTGAATATTTTGCATTTGCAATATTCTATATTGCTCTGCGTTCCAGAAATCGAAATGGCTAATGCAAGTGTAAACACAGGTTAACTCGTGACCAGTTAACAATGTATTAAGTGCTTGTTATACATAACATTCAAAATCGAACAGTCGTACGAGCCTAACGAACAGTTTATTAAAAATGATTGAAAGACAACATTCTAAAAGTGATTTGTTTATCGTGCGGTATTCGTTGCAATCGATACCATGATAGGCAGCAGGAAGCCGCAACAAACAAATCAATTCTGTAACAGACAGAATTAGATTCCTGTTTCCGTGTTGAGCTCAGGTTACTTGATCCTGTTAATTAAACCGCCAACACAAACGAAACTGTTTCCATTCGCCATGGCCGCGATCATTGTGCCCGCCCGTCGCGTGGGCCACCGCTGAACGCAGTTCCGCGATTCCTAGAACGGTCCCCGATTCATATTTTCGCCGATCAGTTTTCACCGTAACCGTCGAGCCACGGTTTTCCGTCAACGCCATCGAAAACGACTCGTGAACAACGATAAATTCCGACAGTAACCCACCGGAAATATTACCCCTCACTACATAAACGTACATTAATTGAAATTTCGTGTTGCCCGTCGGAATTCCTGTCGCGGCAAAAATCTCTGGGCAATATTCCCGAAAGGAAAACAATGAAAGCTCGCGTTCCTACGTGCTCGTATGTTTTTGTTCGAAATTAAAGGAAAAAAGCGGAGAAAAAGGAAAAGCCAGAACATATAATAAATGAGAATATTTCGCTGGATACGAATGAAATATATTGGTTCTCTTCGTGAACATCCGCGTTCGACAGTATTTACGCGGGTTCCGTTGACGTGGCCATCCCGCGAGCAAATAAATCCGTTCCGCCGCGTAATCCGCTTACGACAATGTTAGTTCTGGAAAAGAGCGCGATTCGAACGAGAAACTCGTATCCTACGCGTTTTCGTCGTATAGTAGCTTGTCCGTAATTAACACATTGACTGTCGAATCAGCGCTCACAGAACATTCCATATAATTCAACCGATTGTCTATATGAACGGAATGGAAATTGAGACGATTCGTTGCGATTGTTCTTTTAGAGAGAACTCATTTTTTATACAAAAAATTGTGACACTTGACAGAGTATCAAAATACGTTGTTTATCTATCAATCAAACGTCGAATCGGCTTGAGGATATCATGGATATGGTTATAAAAATTGTAGATTATTTAACAACACAGCATCCCCATGATCAACAGTCGGCCACTCTTGAAACTATTTGCCTATTTTACTGAAACGTTGAAATTCTTTATTAAAAAGGGGGCTAACATCATTGCTACTGGAGGAAGTGAAAGATTGTTTAAAAGAATTTTTCAATATTTTACTAGACTGTTGATAAATAGTCAATCGGTAGTACTTGACCTTGAGTAGACTTTGATAACTCTGGAAAAAAAGGGTTGACCAAAAATTTGGTACGATCATCTTAAAGCTCTCCTTGAACCATGTTATTATAGCTAACAAAATTTCCGATCGAACTGCTAGCAGCAGAATAATCTGAGCTGACGCTTCGTGGTCCACCTTGTGCAAGTACTTATTTCTACGCTGTAACAACTTAATTGTATTTACTAACATAATTATTAAAAAAGGATCCGACAATAATAAAATACTTCTCGTTCTGTTATATGGCTTAAAATCCATGTAGATGATCTCGTCGATGCTGTTTACATGGGCGACGACCTTCCGCGCAACGATAACCGGGAAACGATGGCGCAGCGAGCGACCGATTCCCTGCGAAAAAGGGCTCATTGACCGGTTCGTGTTTCGAATGGGGGAAAAAAAAGAGCGAGCGAAAAGAACGTCGAAGTTTATTTCTATGGCGTGGAGAAACGAACGACGGGAACGATCGATCTGCCAGAGCTTTTGTTGTTAATGCAAATGGCCGCCCGACGCGCGTCCGACTGTACTTTAAAGCGTCGTCATTTGCGGTATTGCGAGCCGATGCAAACGACTGCTCGTGTACATAACGCGATACCCTGTAGATACACGCGCTGGGCGCCGCGTTATACACATAGACGGAGTGGGAGTTTCGGCTAGCAAACTTCAGGGCCCGTTCTTCGTGTTGCAGTTTCGGCACGTTGGTTTACATGGCCACGCAAATAGCATCCGGCATGAAACATCTCGAGGAAATGGACTTCGTGCATCGGGATCTCGCCACAAGGTAACGACAGACAGCTTCTCATAGATTACTTTAAGGCAAACTTTGGCGATCAGTCATTCGTTCGACGATACCCTGCCGCTTCACCCTTGGCGAATGCATTACATCGGCGCAGTCGTCGCGTCGCCGCGCTGAAAACAGCCGCGCCGCGGAACTGTTGCTGCAACGAGTCTGTGCCTACTATTGGTTTCAGCGTACCGAGTTCTCAACTTTGAATTAAGATGAACGTCTTATTTGCTGTGGTTGAAGTATTGAGTACGATGGGAAAGTAACGTTGCGTGCATCGAATCGTTGTATCGCAGGTTTTCTGTTTGTTTAACTACTAACAAGGAACGGTATCGAACTCGGAAATTTTAAAAATTATGGAACTTTGTGTGTAAGTAGAGTACGTCAAACCTAATTTTTTTCGTGACGAATTTAACTTTGAAGGGGTGAAACCCTCCCTTGAAAGAAATGAAACTTTTCTATTCCCGTGGATTATCCTGCAAACGGTAAGGTATAGGGAAGAGAAGTTTAAACAGAGAAATTTTATTTTTCAATTTTATAAACGTAGAAGAACAATGTATTTTTTGTTTAAACTTGTTTCGCTATCTCTTATCGTTCTCAAGATAATCTACGGGAAATAACTATTTGAATTTTTTTACAAGGGAAATCCATTGCGTTATTTCTTCTAGAAGATCGGTCGTTAGAATCACCTTGTCGTTAATAATTTACTAAGAGGAAAAAAAGAATTTTATGTTCACCCTATATTTATATTTGTATAAAGTGTTTATATAAAGAAATTTATTTAGTTATAATTTCTCAACAAAAGGGACTTTATGATTTTAGTAGATGTAAGGTACAAAATCTGAAAATTCTTGATAGAAAGTAATAATTTTAATATTTCCTTTTTGTTTGCTTCATTGATGAATTCTTGTAGAGAATACTGAAAAGTTTAAAATAGGCAAATTTTGTTTTTAATGAAAAATTTTTACGTGCAAGTAAAATTGTCCTTAACACATATATAATATGCAGTTTATTTCCAATTTGCAATCAGAAATCGGGTTCATATCTAGCTTTATCAAATCTGAACCATCATTAGTGTTACTATCAGCTTCCTATCAGTTACCACTAGTTTACAACCATTACTATCGGGTTCGGATGAATATCGTATGTATTGAAGTTACTAAATCCGGAATCATTAGTATAAGATTGTAACAATATCGGATGATTGATAAAAAGCGCTCAAAATTGGTCAAGGTAGATATGTTTTCTACTTAATTCCGTTTTCTAACCGTTAATTGTATCAACATAACAGTACATACCATTTAAAGAGTTTATAAAAAAGAAATTATTCAGATTATTATTATTATTATTTTTTCTACCAACATTATCGAGCAGTTACTCTTTGCTTTGACTTTCTGTTTTATTGATTACCACACTACATCTAGTGTATTTTACTCTTTCACGATCTCTGTACTTTTAATTAACTGCTAATAAAAACTGCTCTGGTTTAAACTCGTTTTTAAAGCAACATAAACCTCCCCGCAAAGCTAATAAATTATCCGGAAGTAATAGTATTTTTATGGGTGCTAATGCAGCAGTCAACGTATCAAAGGAGAAATTTTCGAGACATATGTTTCCAACTCGGGCGAACTTAAACAGTTATACATTGAATTTACCGCAGGTTTGATTTAGAAACTCCACGAGGGGCGACAGAGTTACTTTGGCATAGCAGCGCCATTAAAACTGTACACGCGGGGTGGAGGATAGCCGAGTCACGTGTTCGAATTATTAACTCTAATCATAAACTTTAATTATAATGCGCTGTGTCGCAGGCGCGGCCGTCACACATAAACGCGGAGCGCGCGCGTGTCGTGCCCGGTGCTGAAATTAATTGCCTGTTGATTTATAGAAACGAGTGTTGAGCCGAACAGCCCAATAACCAACCGGCCAACGGCAAATAAAACGATGTATATGAAACAGTTGGCAACCCTTTGAGTCCTTGCGATTAAACGGTGAAATCGTGCAAACAATTTGCTCGCATTATCGCCTGCCGTGGAACCTGTCGCGCGCGAAAAGAGAAAAATTTCACGATACCGCACCGCGAAAGGTAGCCGGTTCACGGAAACATTTAATGATTGTATTAATGAAAATACGCACGGTGTACTCGACGATCCTTTCGATTACTTTAATCATGTTAAATTCATTGGCGCACGTAATGAGTACGATTGTTTATAGTTAATATCGCGAGCAAAGCGTATCACGCTGACGGTACTTTCTGTCATTTTACTATGCAATTGAACGTCAAACGCATTCCCCTTGCGCGACCCGCACGGCGAGAGGTTAATTATGGGTTCCTCTTGTTATGGCGGTAAAATAGAAAAATGATGTTCGGTATGTTTAATGAAGAGAACTGTCAACTTTTCTATTTTCAATTTTTTAGCTTTGCTATTGTGCATATTAATACGCGAATATTTAAATTGCCAATGAAGATGTATTCATTTATGGAATTAATTATTCAAAAATAATATTCCTTATACGAATAGACTACGATTTGTTTAAAAAATGAAGAATCTAATTGTAAAATGTACACTAGAAGAAAATGCAAGAAAAAATTGAAGGAGCACAAAGCACAGTACAAAATTTTCCATGCGTCCCGCAGCCCAAACTCCTCTGTTTAACCGATCGCGTAAAAAGTTGCCAGCAAGTCGACCGGAACGGGAGAAACCCGAGGGCCGACGGTACTCCGCGGCGAGCGTAAAATAAAAGCGTCGCGGTAGCTACTAAACTGTTCTTCCATCCGCCACGGTATACGATAAACGCCCGGTTTTACGTGCAAATCAGTGCGAAACTTCGAACGACCATCGCTTCCGACGTGCCCGGAACCTTTTCTGCTGTTGGCTGCTTAAAAGCGGCCCCCTTTGCGAGCCTCCAAATGGTCCTCCAGAATGCATCGACGCCAGACGCGGCTTTAACGCGCGCGCGAACGCAAAAGAGCAAGATGGAGGACCAAGGATTACTTTTAGAGAAAAGAAACGCTTTCACCTATCGCGGTAGTCGCTGCAGTTGTGTAAAGTGCCGAGTTTCCTTGTACAGTACGGCTCATGATTATTCGAACGTTCTGAATGCTTCAAGGATACACTGTTACATTTGAAATAATACTATTTCATGTGGTTTATAGGCTATACAATGATGCAATTGTACTTGATTGAAATATTGTTTACTAATTTTTCTTCAAATGTCATTTAATTGTTGTATTCTTTACTCTGACTACTGTTATACAGAGTTTTTAGTATCCATTTATGTACATCAAAAAGTAGATTAGTATATTAAAAAGCTGGTTGTTTTTAGATACCGATAGTAGTATAGGACATCTATGATTTAAAACTAGTAAAGGTTTTGTTGAAAGTGAAGAAATATAAATATCATGTATTTCAGTATAATTTTGTACCATTGTAGGATAATTCGAGTGCATGCATACATGTATATTGCAGTACCGAAGAATGTATTGAGTGTATCGTAAGCTTTCACATCATTTTTAAATTAGAAAAGATTATAATTTTGTTTTGTATTCTGTTCATAAAAAGGTTTTTGTTGAATATTTGTTGGGTACATTTGTATTCGGAATTATAATAAGCAGAATGAGTATATTATATAGAGACGAAACAGTGTATTCGTGTTTAACAAGCCGTATGTTGGCGATTGAGTCGAACTCAGTTACTTCGAAATCCCAGTGAGTTACGAAAAATTTTATTTGATGAATTTTGTTTTGTATAAAGTTACCCTATTGTATTACGGTTATACCAAATATTCTGTATTCCATTTTTACTGTTTAATTGGGATCGTATACGAAGGAAGCTTCGTGGCTCTAGATTGGGGAATAGCTTTGTTTCGAGTGTCATTTAAAAAATCCATTCATAAAAATTTGTATACCATTTAAGCATCGATCTACATTCTTTGAGCATTATTTGTTTTCTACGTAGAGAATCAAATCGATTCTTTCAAACATTTTATTCATAAATAATGTAAAATAAATATATTGACACATTATGCATGCATTTATACCTGAAACAAGCATATTTAAATTGTACACTTTTGAAAAGAATATTTATTACAAAGAAATTTCGTTCAACATTTTCAAGTGATTCTTTCACTGCCATTTTAATTGGAGTTGGTGCTCGTATAAAGACTTACAAAATTGTTTGTTACATGTTTAGTGAAAGGTAAATATGTACATATATATGTCTGGAAAATTCTGCTGAAAACATATTTATTATTTCACTAATTTAGCATAGCATTCGATATATTGTTATAATTATAACACATAGCCACCAATCAAATAACTGCTTCAACGGGTTTTTCGTTTTAATTCTTTCAAAACAATTGTCATGAAAATAGCACGCTGCATAATACTAATGGTTTTCTGTTACATCGCAACCAAATGATGAACTCTTTCAAATCCAATTTCGTCGCAGGATCGATATTCAGTTTTATTTCAATTACTATATGTTTTACTGACTCATTTTAGTATTTACTTCAAATACAACTACACCCTGTGCAACGGTCAGGATGCACCACACAATTGACTTTCATTTTACAATTGATTTTTAAATTCCTTGAAATTGATCATTCAGAAACGGTATTGTCCATTGCTAATTAGTCTAATGTGTTCAGACACAATTGTTAATATAAAAATAGAAGATTGGCAACAATTTATTTAATTCTTTTAATAGAATTTTCAAAGTATATCAAATTCATAATCATAAAATTTAAATAATTATATTTATATTTTAATAAAACTTTCAAAGTATATTAAATTGAAATTGTAAATAATTCAGAATCATCTCATCATAATTTATATATCTAATTTATCATCACTGAATGTATCAAGATAATTTAAATTACATGTAAGGCTTCACCCTTCTTGTTAATATTAGTTATAGTAGATATAGATATACTGCGAACTCTGAAACTCTTGTCCTTTTAGCTATTTAAAGACTAATTGGTTTTGATAAACATAGCTGGCAAAGAAATTGTAATGCCAAGAATAAAATAATTCTACCTTTATTTCATCAATGTTTCTGAAATACATTGAGTGAATATTGTAAAGTGTTCAGAATCATCACCTGACGATTTCTAACTCAATCATACCACTGTCCTGTGCATTGTGACATTTCATGTTATCTTGGAATTTGCAACCATTGTATCTTTGTTTCAAAAATATTTCCGAAGCATTATCGGCTTGAAGGAAATATCCGAAGCAAGATCTTTTTATGGATAACACGACACTCCTCGAGATCCGTGAACCGTGTATTAAGCACGTTTCGCGGCAATACACTTATCCGCGTATCTCCAACTGACATAACAGGGGGAACCAAAATAATCCACTTGGCCTTGAAGACGGATTGTCTCGTGAAGTCTACTCTGTCTTCTAGCAGCACGAATGTTGCGCTGTAAGTATTACAAGGGTAGCAGGGTCTGCGCGAAGGGTTCTGTCAGAGCATAAAACGAACGAATGACGAGAACCAAATGGAAAAGGGATTAACTAGCCGAGAAATACAAGGAAATCTATATTTTGTATATAATATGTATATGTTACGGTAAATGTGATTAATCCGGTAATTATGTATAATTGCTGGTTATTATATATAATCACCACTAAGTTTGGTAAATGTGATGAATTCTTAAATTGCGAGTTGGGAATTACATAAACTCGCCGATTAATTTGATAAATATTCAAGAATTCATCACATTTACCAAAATTAGTGGTGATTATATATAATAACCGGCAATTATACATAATCACCGGATTAATCACATTTACTGTAATATATATTTGATATGTGAATGTTTGTATATTTGTAACGCTAACATCTCTGGTGTAAATCCAATGTAGTGTATTTTGCACGCTAGTAGTTTTATGTAGTAATGCTAGTTGTAGTGATTGTAATGCATTTTAATACTACCATTTTTATTTTTGGAAAACAAGAAGATTACACAGAGATATACGATGAAACGGTTTATTGGTTTGTCGCAGAAACTGCTTAGTGGGCCGTGGTTATTTGGTGAAAGTGTCGGATCTTGGTTCCGGAAGGAACGCCTACGCCGCTGACTATTTCCGGGTCGAAGGTCGACCTCCACTGCCAATTCGGTGGATGGCTTGGGAATCCATGCTGATGGTAAGTAATTAATTAGTCTGTCATTGAACAATCTGTTGGAATTTCGAACATCCACGTCGAGAATTCAGACAATTGAATTGATTATGCTTATTTGAAGTTTGGGATATAATTCGGCATGAATTCCCCTTGAGAATGCTAATTATTTTAATAATTGATACTAACAGTTGATGTTTCTTAAGTAATACATTTTAATATATTTATATGAAGCTTTTTCTGTGCTTCAAAGAAGCAGTCATACCTTTTATTCGGATCGTTTATTTTATTTTGGCGCCAGTAATAACAGCTATTATAGAAACATACGAAATTAAAGTAACTATTTTTCGCTCAGTAATTATAATAATATATAATTATATATTGGCAAAGGTTATTCCTGTAATGAAAAATAATCTGTTTTCTAAATGTCGGTGCTGTTTTTATATAGCCACTTTTAATTTGATAACATTTCATATTTAAACATCAAAGTACCATCTAAGTACTATTACATTATTATCACCCCGAAGTGAGTTTAATTAATACATTTGAATCTATTAATAAAATTCGTTTTCCTGTCATTATACGAAGCGTGAAAAATGATTTAATTAATTTAAACATTTTTTTGCGAATCTAAAGTACCCAGGAGGAATTTATTTACTCATGATAATATTTACAGTAGGCAATCAGCTTAATGATTAACACTAACATTTTTTTAAATTAATATTGGAGGTGCAGTAGCGCAATAAATAAATATATATATATATATATATATATATATATATATATATATATATATATGTATATGTATATTGTATATTAGCCAATATATAATTTGTTTGTTTTTTCTTTGCATCAATTTCAAATGTTTAATATACTTGATATGTACCTAACTGGTACATATTGAATGATGGATCGATAATAAAATAATTCAGGTCCTGGCCTAGTGTGTATAATATATAAATATTTAAAAACTATTATGACATACGACTCCATTTTATTCGATTCATGTGTTATACATCAACTATAGAATTGTTTCCTGGTGCCAAAAAGTTAAGTTATTAACGAACCAAAATAAATATCAGGAAAATTAAGATGGCTTTCATGAGATAGTAATTCTTACAATTTCTTCGACGACATTAGTTAATACTCATTTTCCACTAATCTTCTTGCTATATCAATTACATATTTATTAAAACTGCACAATTCAGAAAAGGTTTCTTGTCAAGATCGTAGCTCAAATTACGTTACCTCGAAACGTAGTATCCCTGACAACAATAGTCATTAATTAATTTTCTACCAAGTTAGTCAATGTATCTACAACCCCATAATTATTACTTTAACTATGAAATATGATCAATAATCATATTCTACTGCTTTAAAAATTTAATTTCGCTACATTCAACTTCCTCGAAAATTATAACGCAATTAATTTGATGAATCTAAATCGTTAGAATCGTACACAGCGTGCTGCAGTGAGGGGAAACGCGAACGTGATCCAATGGTTTTATTTCGAGCCGTTTCGGTCAGTGATGTTTAAATGGACCGTGGCTGCACATTCGCGCGCGATGAAACTCGGTTTGGTTTTCGCGAATGCCCGTTGTCCGTTTTGAACGCTCGAAATCAAAGCCTCGATTTTCGCACTCGAACGGATGGACGGAACGTTTATTTTTGTTTCAATATTTGCCCTCAAGATTCGTCGATCCCGGTTTTAGTAAGCAGGAACAGTATCGATCATTGTTTAATAGCTTGCCTCCGAGTGCCTCAACCAGTTACGATTTCGAATGCTGCCTCGATCCGCTGGAAACCATTTTAACCTTCCTCCTTGTTCAGAAACCCATCTACGCTGATCCACGGGGATCGAAGGAACTCGAACTAGATTTAAACAGCCGTGCCGGTCTAGAACGGGGGCGAGCAGATTACTGTGCATCAAATAGCTAATTACCTGGAACATTTGCTTCTTAATCACGTTCCCAACATCAATTTCTGGAAAACAAGCTAATGAGTAATATGTTAATGTAAAAGAGAAATAGCAATTATTATTATACATTTGGTATACGTTATTTATATTTTCATGAATTACGTATATATTATGACGTCTTGAGTAAAATTATTATTAACATTGGCTTCTTAGTTACATTTCGGAATTTCAGTTTTAGAAAACTATATAGTACGTGTAGTGTATTATGTAATACTTGCAAAATTATGTTTATAGTTTTAATTTAATACTAACAAAATTAATTAAACGAAACAGGATATTAAATACTTGGAATAAATTGATATTAAACGAAATTTAAGGACGTAATAATAAGCTGAAATAATATTAATCCTTTCCACTGAAGAGGCGACTGAAATAATATTAACGCAGTAAAATTGTAGAATTTAAAATTCAATATTAAATTCTGTGTAAGGTATCAACACGTGAGACATGAAGATAAAACAGTTATGTCTCTTAATTTATGCAAGATTTTTCTTTACCTTAGTTGCAAATAATGTTATCGATATTTCAGCAGGAAATAATGAATATTTATAATAGTAAATATTATCGAGAGCAAAGGGTTAAAATCATTCGCAGAACACAAATTCCGAGACGTACACAGAAATATCCCTACGGGAAGATATCCAGAAGTTTCAGCATCAAAACGAACGACCTTTCCACATTAAAAAAGATGTACAAAGCTTTATAAATCTAATATCAATTCCTGTAGTTTCTAAAGTCAATGTATCGTAAAAATTCCATAACCTTCAGTGCCAATAAAAAAGGAGCATACACATTCGAGAATTGAAAATTTGAATTTATATAATGGCACTGCAGCGTACAGTAACGGAACAAACATCAAAGGCGACATACAAATCTCGCGCCGTAGTTAACAAAGCAAAAGACTCGAACAGTTTTTTTCCGTGTGGTGAGTGGAGCCGATGGTTATCGCGTGGTTCTCCCAAAGAAATATGAAACGGGCCGCTCGTTCGCGATGAAGTCGCTAGAAAACATATTCCGCGTAGCGGCGGCGCGATCGAGCCACGGTGAATTTATCGGCAGCACGCGTTATGCCAGTACATCGGTGTAACAAATGGGGTCGCGGCAGACGTATTTTATTCGGCGAATCCTGTTTTTAATTTCTCGTCCGCGGCCCAGCCGACATTGGACTGTCGATCCGCGAAACCGCGAACCCTCATCCCGCTAGAACTGTCTGCGGTCGCGCGGCATTAGCGAATCGAGCTTATTCCCCGTGTCATCGCGGAACCCTAAAAGTCCCGACGAGGGTGCGGCTTCCCGCCCTGCCCTCCTTCCCATATGCGTTCCACAATTCGTTTTCGATGTCGAGTCAATTTTTTCTGCTTAAACCGCCCGACAATCCCGACACGATCGCTTCACTTATTGGGGAACATTCTGAAGTATTTTGTAAAGCTAATGTCGAAAAAACTTTAACCTCTTAACACTAGAATCACTGAGCATTTAATATTGTAATAATAAATTATTTTCAGTTTCTTTAGACATTCATTGTAGTATTCAAGTGAAACCATTCATTTTCAAGATCATTTCGAAATATTCAGTGCTTTTAAGATATCAATAATTGCGAAACAAAAAGACCGAAATCAGTCATTTTGACTGGCACAATAGTTAGTGTTAATGCAGGCCTGTTTAACAGGGCTTTTCGCGAGCAAGAGGAGTGTCGGTTGTCCATCGGCAGATCTTTATCAGGGCAGGGTTAACCCTTTACGATCGGTACATTTTTCTAGCGGCAATACCAACTAGTTGAAGCAAATATACATTTTTAAAGCTATTTTTCTATAGGTGATATATATATTACGATCGAGTAATATAACACTGTATCCAGAAAAAGCGTAATGCCACCATATTGGCGACACGGATTTTGAAGACAAATGTTGAATGTCGGCACTGTAGTGGCACCGATCGCAAAAGGTTAACACGCACCATACCAGCACTTTCCCTACCGTAACTAGTCAAATAACTTGCTACAAAGTAGAGATAAACAAATTAGATGATACATTTTTCATAGTGGAAACAGGAACAAAAGGAAGGCTGAAAATTGAAAAATCAATTAATCGAACAATATAGGAATTGATATAAAATTAAATGAATAAAAGAAAACGCAGAGTTTTAAATCCGGCCATTTGACCACTTCCTGGTACAGTTATTGTTAAGGGGCCCACACACATTGAAACTTGCGGCGATCATTTGTCGCTGATTATGTTTGGGTGAGTAAGTAATTGATGTCGGTTTCCAAACCTTATCTTTAAAACCATATATCTCGAATCGGAACAAGTTTTTTTTAACCAAAATAAGATTCATTGCAATTTATACATTTTTTTCAACTGACAATCAGTTTTTTAATTCCAATAAAATTCTGGTTTTCCAGAATTGATGAATCCTTTGAACGCATTTTCAGCGGCTGCTTGGTTGGTAAATATCTTCCCTTGCAAGTAATAGTCGAGATGTTTGAAAAAGTGGTAATCAGTTGGCGATAGGGTCGAGGAATATGTCGAATAAGGCAGAGTTTCATAACCCAATTCGTTCAACTTTTGTAGCGTTGATTGTGCGACGTGTGGTCGAGCATTATCGTGTAGAAGAATTGGGCCCTTTGAATTGACCAATATTGGATTTAATCGAAATGTTTTGAACCAACGTTGCACCGAGCGTTCATTCATAATATTTTGTCCAAATGCATCGTTGATATTACGAGTCGCTTCCACAGCTTTATGACCCAGTTTATACTCATACAAGAATATTATACGAATTTGCTTTCTATACATTTTTAAGTTAATAACGTGAAGCGAGCACAATTTAACTGTAAAAAAGCATACCTATCAGCATGTAGAGCGATATTTGCGCTGCAAAATTATATTACAAACATTTCGACTGGTACGGTAATTCTAGTGTTAAAATTAAAGTAGGGGAAAGTTCCCTATATTTGATCAGTTAAACAAATACATCAATAAATTCGAAAACGTGTTGATATTTTCGAGTAGAAAAAATTGAAAACAATCTTAGCGGTATGGTTGATACG